ACTGATGTGATCTACTCTGCTTCCTGTGGGCATATTTCACTATAGCAGATCCAGAGGGATGCTTTGTTATTCCTGTCAGATCAAAGAAAGAGATAACAGAAGGAAATTTAAGAGGAAAAATATAACCCAGAAATGAGGGTAGCTGAAAAGCATTGCATCTACTTCTTCATTAAGACTTTTCAAATTATTTAAATACGCTAAATATCAAGTCACCACCAAAGAAATAAATATTGCATAGGCCATATGCTCTGTTAGCTGCCAGAAAAACTGTTCTACAAGGATTAGTTTACGGGCACAGCAACTGCCTGTCAAACACTAGTAATTTTAATCATTTTTCAATTTGCTGTTTGAGTTGCGAGTATGTTCAGGTATTTTGACAAGTGGCTGCTCAGAAAAATATCTGAGCTAGCTTCACACTGCCTTGCTTTCCTACACACACGCAACTCCTGCCAGACTGTGGGGATACAAGTGTTTGGTGAAGATGCAGCAGTCACAGGGAAGTCGCTGTAAGCTGGATTTTGCAATTTAACACAAGGATGACACCAAGTTAGTCTAAAGTCTAGGGCAGACCAAAAGCTGAAATGGTTTTTCAAAATATTTCTAATCACAAACTAGGTGAAAGTATAAAAAAAGAAATAAACAGAGATCTGGCTATGATTTAAAAACAAACAAACAAACAAAACCACAAATAAAACTAATCAGAAAACCTGAAATAGTACTTTTCTTCAACTAGATGTGCTTTCAGTACTACGTGATTAGCCTTGTATGCACTAAACTGCCCATTTTTGTGTGTTTAATCTACAAGGTATTAAATTAAGGTAGTAATAAGCAAAAATAATTTTAACTCATCTGTTTCATTTTCTAATGACCAGAATGGCTTTGGTTTTCCCTTTCAGCCACAACACTTTGTGTCATACAAGGTTCTAACTTGAAAAAAACACATCTCTAGGATTTTTGAATGCCCAGATTTCCAAGTGTTTGGAGAAAAAAATTGAGGCTCCTAAAATCTATAGACATTCTGGGAGAAACAAGAGGAAGAACTGTATTTTACCAAAGAAGTGGACCAGTAGCAGTGGAGCATCACAAATAAACCACATTTCCTATGTTGTTCTTTATATATTAGCATTCTCAGCATCAATCCCCTGAAGTCAGTCAAGTCTGTCCAGAGGAAAGGATTTGGATTATGATGTAAACTAACAGTAAAGACAATTCCAAATAACATCTAATGTCCAATATAACTACTGTTTACATATTAAAAAGAGATACAGACTTTGTACCATGGATGTTCTGTCATGTTTCTCCACAGGAGAGGACTGTCATGGTAAAGTTCATTATCAATTACTGCCTTATGAGTACAAGATGAGTTAAGCTGTCATAATTTTCTCAGCTAGAAATCCTATGCTGTCAAACAGTGTCAATTTTTAATCTGACAAAAGGAAGAAAATTATCTGTTATTTTGACCTCTAATTTCTTGACATTTTAATGTTGTAATTGCTGTGGTTAGTGCTGCATCCATTATTCCACCTATCAAATAAGAATGAATCAATATCCTTAAGCTGTTCTTCAAGCTTTCACCTCACTGCTTTTACTCTCAAAAGGAAAGAATTTAGCAATAGAATAAAATAGGTTGAAATAAAAAAAATATAATTTGGGGCCTGGAAAATGTTTGTTACACATTTTTTTCCCTCCTCATTACTGTATGAAAACCATTTTGCAATGGGCAGACTAAGAGAGACCATTAGAACTGATAGAACTGGAGAACTTCCCAATTTCTAATCATAAAAGATCAAACCCATAAAATTCAATTTTATACATTCTGTGGAGCATGTAAATTGGGACTTTCATGTTGCTCTCATCACTACTTGAGATAAATTATGATCAAGTATTTTTTGTGGTATCAGAAAATTACAAAGTTGTTTGAAAAATCAAAATCAGTATGTTGAAATGAAATCAGCTTATTTTACCCATCCAGTGCAGCTCTTAAGTTGCCGAAGAGTTATTACAGAAGCAGATGTATGTGATTTCATAGACTGTAGTAATCTAAAACTTAATTGTATCCAGCATTCTGGTTTCAACCACTGAGAATTTTCAAAATGTAAAAAGAAGATAGCAAGTCAGATGCAAAGTCTTCTACTAAATAGGTTGAAAGAGAGAAAAAGCACAGGATGGCCATTTTTCCACTGTTAAACAGTAGAGAGTTCTTCGAGGTCTTCCAATGCATGTGAGAAAGATGCAAGGAATGGCAGGGATAAGTTGTTCCACCATTGAATACTTTTTTTCTAGTTAGATGGCTACTGAAGTGACTTCTTTAACATTCTTCACAGAAATCTAAGAACATATTCCTTAGTGGTTAAGCGAGATGCTCGAGCAAAGGGTGAAAATGAAAAGGCCAAGGTATAGCATAAACAGGTCATGGGGTCCTGCCAGTTTAAATTATGTCTTTCAATCAGCTCAGACCTAAATGGGAGGGTTGTTTTTTTTTTATTTGGAGACTTATTTCACTGGATAGATTCTGCTGGGACTCAGCTCAATATGACATTAGTTACAGCCACAGTTTGAAGAGGTTACTGCCATGCTTGAGCCCATTGGCCTGATAATGGCTGCTGACAATAAGGTTGTATTGATTGGCACATTTTACCACGATTTATTGAGAACATTGCCATCTTCCACGAGACAGAACCAAAATATTTCAGTTTGTTTACAAAATAAACATCAAGAGCATTTGGATACTGGGACATGCATTTTCCTGGATAACTGCAGAGTGCAATCAATGCTAAATTGCAGTGTTTCTAAATTAAGGTGCCAGACATCACCACCTGCCACTGTAAAATATGATAAACAATTGTTATCACTATTTTTAAGGGTGCTAGTATTCCTATCCTTACATTTCTGCATATATAAGGGGTCTTCAGAGGCTTTTAAAATATCTTTTTGCTTTTAATTTATTTTCTGGAATATCTACAAAAAGCCAAAATAAAGTAAAACAAAACCAAACAAAAGCAAAACAAACAACAACAAAAAAGCCAAGAATACAATGTATATATTTGTAATAGAAACATGACATCCAAATATATGGTCCACTAGATCATCAAGATGTCAAATGCTTTATTATTGGCCAGAGAATGTCTGCTAGTTTTATAAATAGAGCCCAGGAAAACCGAAGGCAGGCCTAAATCCGTCTATATTTACACATGTACTGTTAATTCTGTTTAGAAATAAATAAAAAGTATTTTTTAAATCTTCTTATGACAAAGCACAAATCAACAATGCTTGAGATCTCTTGCAGGAGAAAGCACACTATTTTTAAATGGATGCATACTACTTTTTATCTATATATAACAAAAATTAGAAGGATTCATTTTTCCTGGACTTGTTGCCTCCTCATCGCTAACAATGAATTTTATTTACAAATTCAATTTGTGGCAATGAAGATAAAGTTAAATAGCCCAAGAAGAGGTTTATATGTTATTGACTGAAAGGGTATGGGTTAGATGTACAAGTGAGTGAACAAAAACATCTCCATTAATTTTTTTAAATTTCTGATGACAAGTTATGCATGTAAGTAGAGTCACAGGAGAGCTAGAGTCTCATCATGTTATAAGATGTTAAATAAGGTGAACAGACAAATAGACCTCAATCCCACAAGCTGCCCTGTGGGAGAAGGCCTTTAAAGTCAAGACACAGGAGTCTGCCCATGCAAATCAGGACCTTAAGCCGTGAAAATCCCTTGTGTTCATGGTGCTTGACACCTGTTTTATACTTTAAAAAGCATTGCTTCTTTGTATCTCTAGGAAAGCATGACTCTTTTCATGCTCAAAGTTTTAAATTCAGAAAACTATTATGTAGATATCAACATTAAATATGTGAGGCAAGGGGAATCAAAGCAACTCTAGTCATTCTTAAAACTAAGCAAATATTAATTGCTTAGAAAACCTAAACTTTGCAATTCATGGAGTGAAAATCCAGCTCTAGGAAGGGGGGTCTGAATGGTTTTTTATTTCCGCTCCTAAAAAAACATCAAATGCAACAGGATGTAGCAACACACTGCTAAAAACCAACATGACAAAACCCAATAGTTAGCTGAATATGAATGGTTTCTCGAATCTATTTCTCTCTGAAATCTCTAGATTTCTGTCTCCAAGATTGGAAAACAAACAAACAAACAAACAAAACCTCATTGCCTGGCAATGTATAAATTATTACTGTTTTGCATACAGCAGATGGCAGCTATCTGGGGGAATGGAAGACTGTGTGTAGAGCTTCATCACAGCAGTACTCATCTAGCAGCTGTTGCTTCTTCACACTTTGCACCAAATTTCAATTGTTTTAGCCAACAAATGGAGGGTATTAGAAAATCATAATTCAAACTAATAGTCTTACTAAAAACAAATACAGTCACTGGAAGGAAACATGTATCAGGATATCTACAACAATTTTTTTAAAAAATTACCAATTAATTTAAAATACTTGAGTATATATATACACATATATATATTTTACGCATACATATATACAAACATAAATACTTGTATGCACAACAAATAGCAAACATTTTCTATTTAGGTAACAGTTTAATTATACGTTATGTGATTAAAACAAAAGTAATCTGAATATTTGTTGCTGTAACTCTAGCAAATATATTCTTTCTCAGACACATATTCTCACCAACACCGTCTGACTGAAAAGGTTAGATTTTTTTTCCCTATGACAATGATGCAGTTTTTTCTTTCAGTTTTTCAGTTCTACTAAGTGAACTTAATAAAAGTAAATGATAAAAAGTAGCAGACTATATATTACAGTACATTGCATTACAATTTCCCACATCATAACTGACTATTAAATATATTAGGGACATCTGTTTTATTGCTTCTGAAGTCGCCTATGGACTAAATTGAGAATCAAGTCACACACCAATTTTCTCCAGCAGTGAAAGATGGAAAAAGTACCATATCTTGTGAGATGACAGCAGTTTTTAGAATGAAACAGCATTAAACACCTACCTCCCTGAGGACAGGATCGGTGATACTGTCCAGGTTCACAGAGCCTTCATATGTTAGGTAGTGGAAAACATTGAGTGCACGCACTGCTTCTGGTCCTCGTTGCTTGTAGCCAAATATAAGGTCAATCCACTGATGAAGTTGACATGATACAAACTCACTTTCCAGGGCCTGCAAGTGAAATTCAGGGTTAGGAAGTAACTGAGAAAACATAATGGGTATTATTAAATTTTCTGTTCAGGTTTATTTTATACATTGGAAATCCTTCAAACATTAAAAATTGTAACTGGATATATTGAGAGAAGGACTAAAAGGATATTCTCCCTTCCTTCATTTTATATCATGTTTCTTCTTAGCTACTGGGTTTCTCCTAACTGCAAAGGTTTTAATTATAAATTTTTGGGCTTGTCAAGTAAGTTACATAATTTTTTAAAATAACCTGATGGTATTGGGAAAAACATTCAAAAAACCAGTCTTCCAACTCATTTTCTAACTAGTTCAATTAACCTTAAATCTAAAATGAAAATTTGAGAATTAAAAAGCTGTATCAGGAAAATGAGGTTCTGAACTCCATGTGCACCTTGTGACTGGTTTCTCAAAGGAGAAATCAATCACAATTTTCCCACTAATTTCTGATATCAGGTTGGTTCACTACAGAAAACAGAAGCCATGACCAGCTAGTTTGAAAATGGGTTCAAGGATTGCTGTTCCTTTGCTCAGCATGTGGAAAGAGATTAATTCTAGACAGAGGAAATGATGATAGTATTACTCTTGAGCCTGATCCAATCAATATGCCTTTATCAGACACAACTGGCATCCTTAGTAGATATCATTGCCTGAACTGGAGTTTTGGAAAGCTGAAGGCATTACATAGCTTCTCTTTACCCCTCTACCAGGCTACCTGTCCTAGTTTTCCATGAGTCTGTACCCTGATTCACAAATCATTCCCCTATAAAGAATCATTGCGTATATAAGATAGCATTCTGGCACACTCATTCCTTTATTCCTAAGGCTACCTTCAAACACAAACAGTGATAAACAGGAACATGTATTTAGATGAAGATTTATAGTTCATTGACCAAGTTTTTATACATGTCCTTGCCCAAACTCCATCACAGTCCCAATTTTGAACAGTGTCATATGCCTAGCTCCCTTTGATGAGAACAAGTGCAGTTCAATTCTCAAATTTGGGAACTAATTTTTCATTAGTTTATTAGAAAATAATAAAAGAAAATACAGAATCACAGAATGGCTTAGTTTGGAAGGAACATCTGAAAATAACCTGGTCCAAACCCTCTGCTCCAGCAGGGCTACCTAGAGCAGGCTGCCCAGGACTCTATCCAGATGTCTTTTTAATACCTCCAACGATGGAGACATCACAACCTCCCTGTAACAATGCTCCATCACCCTCACAGTGAAAAATATGTTTCCTGATGTTCAGAGGGAACCTCTTGTTTCAATTTGTGCCCATTGCCTCATGTCTTGTCACTGGGCACCACTGAAAAAGATCCTGATTTGCTCTGCTGAAAAAATACCAGCCTTAGTACAATTTATTATGTAAACATCTATGTCAAGCTTACTACTACTCACTGCATACAGGCAGAGCTGAAAGTAACCCTGTACGTTACCTAATACTTTCCATTCTTAAAGACTGTGTTTCTTTTCCTTTCCCTGAGAAATCCTACTTCCTCCATTGTTTTTATCACAGTGCCACTACTCACCACAAACACTACCCAGCTACGACAGTTTCTCGTCTGCCCAAGGAAAGTTCAGATTCTTCAAGGAGATAAATGTTGGGAAAAGACTATTCATTTTGTTCATTTACATCAAAAGGAGGCTGGTTCCAAAATAATCATCGGTCACTGTAGCACCCTGCCGTTCGCTGCTTACAGGCAGCTGCCCCCTGACCCTCCCCTTCCCCCAGGAACAGACTCAGATAGGGCAAATCACGTGGGGCTGGCTTGCTGGGTATCGCATGCGATCGTTCCTCAGATATTTTCCCTGTAATGATCATCGTGGAAAAGGAATTCTCTGTGCTTTGGTGGAAAATTGGACCCTTTTCTGTCAAAACCGGGGACTGTTATTTCTGAGGAAAATGGATGGGAATGCTCCTGCTTAAAAGCTGACATGTGGTTCAGTTTTAAAGGGCTTAAGTTCAACATACTGTAAAAAGCTTTAAAGAAATGTTGCAGACAACCATAGAAAGTTTTGTTGTTTCTTTTTCAAAATCAGAGGTCACCACATGCATATTGTGAGTAATATTATTTAAATAGCATTAATGTTGCTTAATACTAAATACTATTAAACTAATACTATTTGGTTTCAAAGTATGACTGCCAATAAATAAATAAAAAATGCCAAATCCTTAATTATGTTACACCGTGTGTGTACAACATGATACAGTCAGTAACTACATCATCCCATATAATCTTTTTCATTGGACTTTTACCTCAATTAGAGTGCAGGATGCTAGCATGCAAGGTTAAAATTAAGTATGCCACAGTCACCACAAATAAAGCATTTCCTTACTTTTAAATGCTTAATTTTTAATGTTCCTTTTGTATGTAATAAAACATTTTAAGAATTTAGGATTTAAAGTCTGCTATCTTTCCAGTATCTATCTCAAATCAACTTACAGTGAGCAGCCTAACTGTTCTCTTGAGCATCTGAACTCTGCATATTTAAAGTTTCTTTCCATCTGTATCTATTATTTATTTATTAAGAAGCAATTACAAAAAATTATTAGGCATTTCCTTTGCTCAAAAATAGCATTGTTACTTCTAGAATATAGCATTGCTACTTCTAGAGCATTTCAGGAAAATAGCAAAGCTTTTGACTATTCAAGGGTGGGAGAGTAAATTTGAAAAAAATCAACACTTGAGTTGAATGAGCATATTTCTCCCATTATCTCATCTAAAATCCTCTGGTGTTAGAATCACAGAAACATAGGACAGTAGAACAGTTTGGGTTGGAAGGGACCTTAAAAGGTCATCTAGTCCAATCCCCTTGCAACGAGCAGGGATATCTTCAACTAATTCAAGTTGCTCAGAGCCCTGTCCCACCTGACCTTGAATGTTTCCAGCGATGGGGCATTCACCACATCTCTGGGCAACTTGTTCCAGTGTTTCATCATCCTCATTGTGAAAAATTTCTTCCTTATATCTCCTCTGAATCTACCCTCTTTTCATTTCAAGTCATTATTCCCTGTCCTATCTCAGTCAGTCCTGCTAAAAATTTTGTCCCCATCTTTCTTATAGGCCTCTTTAAGTACTGAAAGGTCACAATAAGGTCTCCTTGGAGCCTTCTCTTCTCCAGCCTAGATAATCCAGCTGTCTCAGACTGTCTTCATAGGACAGGTGCTCCAGACCTCCAGTCATCTTCATGACCCTCCCCTGGACCCATTCTAACAGGTCAATGTCCTTTCTGAGGATCCCAGAGCTGGATGCAGCACCCCAGGTGTCTCGTAAGAGGGGAGCAGAGGGGCAGCCCTCAACCTGCTGGCTATGTTTCTTTTGATGTAGTCCAGGACGCAGTTGGCCTTCTGAGCTGCAGGTGCACCTTTCTGGCTCATGTCCAGCCTCTCATCCACCAGTACCCTCAAATCCTTCTCATCAGGGCTGCTCTCAATCTGTTCATCTCTCAGTCTGTATTCATACCAAGGGTTGTCCTAACCCAGGTGCAGGACCTTGCACTTGGTCTTGTTGAACCTTGTGAGGCCCACGGGCCCACTTCTTGAGCTTTTTCATTTCCTTCTGGATGATATTCCATCCCTCAGGTGTGGCAACTGCATCACTCAGCTTGGTGTCATCTGCAAACTCGCTGAGGGCATGCTCGATCCCACTGTCTATGTCATTGATGAAGATATTAAACAGTACCGGTCCAGTAGAGACCACCACTTGTCACCGATGTCCATCTGGACATTGAGCTGTTGACCATTACCCTCTGGATGTGACTGTCCAACCAATTCCTTATCCACCAAACAGTCCACCCATTAAATCCACCTTTCGCCAATTTAGAGAGAAGGGTGTTGTGAGGGACCATGTCAAAGGCCTTATACAAATCCAGACACATGACATCTGTAGCCCTTCCCATGTCCACTGATGTAGTCACTCCATTGTAAAAGGCCACTAGGTTGGTCAGGAGGGACTTGCCCTCAGCGAAGCCATGCTGGCTGTCTCAAATCACCTCCCTTCCTCCATGTGCCTTAGCATGGGTTCTAGGAGGATCTGTTCCATGAGCTTCCCAGGCACAGAGGTGAGGCTCAGAGTTAAGTAGTTCCCAGCACCCTACTTTCTACCCTTTTTAAAAATGGGTGCAATGTTTCCCTTTTCCCACTCACCAGAGACTTTACCTGACTGCCATGACATTTCATGGAGAGTGGCTTGACAACTACATCAGTAAATTCCCAAAGGACTCTGGGATGCAACTCATCAGATGCCATAGACTTTTGGTATGTTCAGGTTCTTCAGGTGGCCATAAAACTGATCTTCTCATACAGTGGGAGAGACTTTGCTCTCCAAGACCCCACCTTGTAGTCCAGTCACTCGAGAGGTGTGGAAAGAGAGGTTGTGATAGAAGACTGAGGCAAAAAACTGTTGAGTACCTTGTCCATTACCATCAGTTTGTCAGTCTTGCTCATAGGGGGGGGATGTACACTTTTTTTGACCTTTAAAGTTAGAAGAGTTAGGAGCATTGAACATCTATGTTATATTTCCCTGAGGCAGTTTCCACTCACAAGACGAGCCCTTACTAAGCAGCTTGTCATTTCAGAGAAGGTCTTACTGACCCTGGCAGGTTTGGAGAACTTCTATTTCATATGGATTAATAGTCCTTTAATAACTTATTAAATGAGTTACTTTTTAACAGTTGAATATCATGTGTTTGTCTCCAATTCTTTAAACAGATTTTATTGTATTATGTTTAGAGGTCTAATGGTTCTCTGAAGAACTTTGGGGTCCTTAGTTCCTTGGGGAAATACCTCTGTTTCTTGAGAAAATTGTGAGTAAATCTGTGGCAGGAGAATTTAATTATTTTGAAATATAAATTTCAGAACTGCACACAAATGTGGCAGTCAGAAGAACTATTGTCAAGGAGGCTCTAAGGATGTTGGGAGTATCAAGGGGTAGTGGCTGTGTGGTATAAGACTGGGGTGGTGCAGGATTTGGGGCAGA